GAAAATATGTCTGTTTTCATTTTTTAAAAAAGTAATTGTTATACCCTTTCATTTTTTTAAAAGTAATTGTTATACCCGAATACTAAATATAGTTCCTAATCCAAGGACTTGTCTGTATAGTAACGCAATCAGATTATGTAGATGAACGCGAGTCCGTGACAAGACACCAGTATTAACGACAAATTGATGCACTATCGTTATAATTTATGAAAACGATCTTCAGTTTTCATAAATATATTGAGCGTAACTTATATATAGTCATAAGAAAAAATTACGTAAAGAATTATAGGTTTTGATCGCATGCACCTTGGTTTCCTCTTTGCCATTCACGGAATTTTAGGAGAAGTTCATTGATTTCACCGTCCGTTGTCTGGTAGCCAATCTTTATCGCCAAAAGTACTAGTACTTAACAGCATTATTCATTTTGTTAAAATAACTAGTCTCATAAAAAACCTATACTAAAATAATGTAATAATTTATTCTCCTTTAGTTTAGTAGAAATGAAGAAAAACAATAGTAATAATATTGATGTACGAGAAATGGTAGAATAGATAATCCACCATTGTGTTAATATAAAGTAATATTGATGTACGAGAAATGGATAATTTCAAAATATTTAATTCAAAATGAGAGTATTCGTTACTTTTTATACATACGTTAACAAGACGAAAATGTATGTCAAAGGCCCAAAGGAAAGGAATAATGGAAGAGTCACTTGACTCACTTCTGCATTTACCATTACGGCTTCCATATATGGAAAGAGTCGAAACAGTTTGATTTATAAAGAAGAGTCATTTTGGGATGAATTGTGAAAGACTTTGCAGGAAACGATTAGAGATACAGAGGAGCGGATTCATATATATGTTAACCACAACCAAAGCCAATACCTGTTAGGACTGAAACAAAACGCGTGGATCACAGAGCTAGTTTCAAGCGAGGCGTATCACTTCGTCGAGGACGTTGAAACAAAGTGCAACACCGTAGGATTTCTCGTCCTTGGTGATCACTTTGTCACGGGAAGCTGAGACGATGATGTCAGCGTTATCAATCGGTGTTGCGATGGTCGTGAGGCCCGTGACCATGTCAATGTGAGCACACATGACACATGGTGCCCTTCAACACGAGACCTTTTACAATTGTCAATGTTTTTGGATTAGCTTCTGAAACTAAAGGCTTTCTCTTGTCCGGTAAAATGGGATTCCAACGAAAGTGGAAATTGGTGAAATTTGTTTTGTTTTGTTCTATGTTGACTGTTAAGAGAACCTAAGAAAACGATTAGGGCTAATAATAATGGGCCTTAATATGGGCCTATTGAATAGGCATCTACGTTGATGAATATTTCACTGTACGAGGGTTCGGTCCAAATCTGCGACAAACCCTTTGCCGTATGAGAAAACTTTTTCTCTTTTTTTCTTTTCTCAAGGTAGGTTAGTGCCAATTTGTTTTTTTATCTATCAACAACATGTGTTATGCCGAATTTTAATATTCTTGGATGGTGGTATATCCACTAAAACTAGTACAAACTACATGGTGACATGCCGATCAAATTATCATTTCTCTGATGTGATTCCACAATATATATCGGCCAAATGTAGGTTTGGAGTCCAATTCAAACTCCACTAATTGGACGCTTAGAACTTTCATATTTCGGAGGGCCAGTGAAAGCATAATGTTACCCTAGATATCTCTTATTGTCATGGTTGTATCACATATATGAGCACCAATAACCCACATTGCATTTATATAGACTATTTCACTTACTTGTAAATGGATATATTGGATATACATACCAATCTGAAACAAATATAATAAAACGTACAACATACAAAGAAGTATTCATACAAAGAAGAGAAAATAAAATGTACTCATACAATCTGAAACATATTTTCTCTATTTTGATACAGGTAGAGAAAATAAAATGTTAGTACAACATACAAAGAAGTACTCATTTCACTTTGTCCGTTAAAAGGTCAACCTAACCATTTATGACGTATTGGTTGTATTTGTACATCTTACTGATACCTATGTGATATCTGATTCAAATTAATAAAATATCACGTTAAAATATATTCGTATTTAACACGTTTTAATCAAAAAGATGAAACTTATTCTTAATCCATTTTGTCTAATACCGTAAAATTTTACCATTGTCAGTTTTCATTATATTTTCTGTCATCTACTACAACTTCTCTTTTTGTATTCTTGACATCTTCTTGTGTTTTGACGTTTAGTTTGTGATACATACTACTATACTAGGTGTTACCGGTTACCAACATTTGCACTAGGCATTGTGACTTGATAGGGGTTTTTACGGATTGATTTTATGCTAATGGGCGTATTTTAAGTTTTATGTTTATGGGTGTGTAAGACTTCTATATGGCCAAACAAATGAAAACTGTCTTTTAAACAAAAAAAAAAAACTCACTGTTTACCATCAATCCAATTCATTTTCCCTGTGAAACAAATGTTAGCTTAAGTATTTTTCGGTCGAACAAATTTCTTGGCCACATTATAATTTTCTAGACTGCTAATAGTATGAATTTAACATTTTATCCACCAATTTTATCCAGACTTTTAATCAAATAAAATTCTTTCGACTTCGGAGTGCTAGTATTTTTTTTTAAATTTTTCGGTATATCAATAGTCTTTATCATAATCAATTATCTTATCTCGGATATTTTAGATCTGATACAATCAAACACTGAAGAAACTGACAAATGAATTCTATGAAACAAATGAAGGAAAAAATCTGTGATACAATATTCGATCCGATCATTATTTCTGATTAATATGGAAGTTCATTTTCGCAGATATTTAGGTACACTGATTGGAACAAAAAATATAAATTCATAAAAAGAAAGTCATTGTATTTGGTAACAAATATTTGAATTTATACAAAGTTGCAAATAATACGGATCTTCGCATATACTGAGCCATTCACATAAACCCTAATATCTCACTACCAAATTTTGTTAACACCACTGAAGAATGGTTCAGAATGAAAACCATCAGCATATCAAAGAATCTATTATAGGATAACTCATACGACACTCTACGCTCATGTTTGCTAATACAGAATAATCCAATTGAAAAATAAACTAATATTAATTTCAGAAAGAAATTAAGATAAAGTGGAAGAAGATGTAGAGCTCCCTTCAATCCAAAGAAGAGTAAAAGCCATTAAAGGGCAAGTTAAAGCTCCTGAGATATGCAAGCCATAGAACCTAATCCTTTTCTTTATACGGATTAGGGCTTATGGGATCCATAGCTTAGCAGCTTTTCTTTACCCTACTAAACTCTCGTTTGAACTTTAAGGAGCTCTACTTCCATCTTTTTCTTTCATCGATAAAATCATTTGGTCAGAACAAGATCTATAGAAAACCAAATAAATTTTTTAAACATAATCAAAATGATATGGATCTGGTATTAGTATGAAGAAAACCCTACATATTATGATCTTAAACTATACACAAAGGTTTCTGTAAAATCAACACAGAAAGATAGAGCCCTAGAAGTTAGATCTTTAACAGAAACAAGAAATCAAAAGATGAGGAAAAGGATAGAGATCCTAATCTCTCTACCTCTTTTAAACATAAGAAGGGATAGGTGTCTGAAGAAAGATGTGAAGAAAGATGTGAAGAAAGATGTGAAGAAAGAATAGAGAGAGAGAAGGAGAGGACAAGTCAAGTTTTGGAAGAGAGGACACACAGAGAGTTGTTATTATAGTGGTTTAGATATTCGTTATTAAGGTAAAAAATATAATAGTATAAAGACAAAAAATGAAAATTAAGAAAAATAAACAGGTGGGTGCATCTGAAAAGACATGGGAAGGGTCTGACATTGTTTAGTGTTAGATTCCCTACGCGTCACATGCGTCCTTCTCGGCTTTTGTGCTTTCTTTTTTTCTCAAGATTTATTTCTTTAATCATAATACTAAATATTATTCTTTCCAACCACTAGTCCACTGTCCATAATTACATTTTTAAGATCTAAATTTGAAATTGGATTTGGCCTACCAATGTATCCTTTGTCTTTTTTTATTTATTGTTAAAAGTGTTCCCGTTGTCTAAAATAAATCGTTAACCCCACCAATACTTCCATTTGCAACACGAAATACTGAAATAAATTGATGTGCGGTCAGGATTAAGTCAGATAGTGTGGGCACGAAAGCAGGTAATTATTACCTCTGTTTGAGATAGAATCTATGGTTAGATTTATTACAACGAACTTGTCTTAATACTCCTCACGAGTCTAGTCTCTATCACAATTCACGCGCCATGTCTACACAATGTTCCGTCACATATTCTAGCAAAGCATGGTCCTTCCGATTTATCATTTTCTTCCCTGTTGTATTTATTCACTTTCTTCGTTGATTCCATTTTTGTATCATGATATAGCTACCTCTCAAGTTATATAACGTCTATTTTTGCCCCAAAATAATAAAACTTGACCTTCCCGCAAAATAATAATATTTGACCTGTGACACACAAAAAAAAACTTGACCTTGCTGCAAATTCCGAATATCCTATTTTTCATTACTGGTTCATGAAAATTCTCAAATGCTAGTTTCTTAACTTGTTTTGTCGATGCTTGGGCCATACCATCAATAAAACCCTGATGTTTGGGCCGTAGAGTTTCCTATTTGTCCTTAATAATGGGCCATGAAAATTAACATTTTGCACGTTTAACCTCCATAATCGGAATTGTCATTGCCTTATTGTTGGGTTTGGCCCTGCACTTATCAAATCTCAAACCGAAGAAACTTGACGGGTGAATGCTGATTAAACCGGACCGAGCCGAACAATTTTGTTTCCCGTTTGGTTCTGAACCGGAAACGACATCGTTGCGCGGGACGCTTCTAGCTTTGTCTTTTGTTACCTTTAGAACAAGACGCAAATCCGTTTTCCAGCTTAAGAGCGTCTCTTTCCTTCCTTTTTCGTTTACTTTTCAATATTTTTTCCCTCAATTGTCCGATTTCTTCTGTAAATCCTCCAACGGCTACTTTTTATCAGATGCCGGAGCTCCTAACATAAACCCAAACCCTTCAAAATCTTAAGAACAACGATAAAATCTCGATCATTGCTTTCTTATCCGGTGGAGGAATACAGTGAATTTCGGAGATGGAGCAGCCGAAGAAAGTTGCTGATAGGTATCTTAAGCGAGAAGTTCTTGGCCAAGGTACTTACGGAGTCGTCTTCAAGGCTACTGATACTAAGGTAATTCCTCACTCAATTCTTCGAAATTCGTAGCGATCTCATGAAATAGGGTTAAGATTATGTTCCGTGATTCTGAATTTCTGCTTTTGGGGTTCTACATGTAGCTTTTGATCCACAAACTATGATTTTTTTACATATGTTCTTTTTTCCTCCTTGTTATGTGTTGTTTGAAGGCCAATTTTGCAAATTTCTTTTGGATATGCAATAAATGTTTGAATCAAATTGTCATATGTCTTCATTGTTTTCGAATGTATTTGAAGTTCTTAGTGTTTTGTTCCTTTGGATTGTTTTCTTGGTGGGGCATTTTTCAGAATGGAGAAACTGTAGCGATCAAGAAAATAAGACTTGGTAAACAAAAAGAAGGTGTGAATATAACAGCTCTCAGAGAAATCAAACTGCTCAAAGAGCTTAAGCATCCGCATATAATTGAGTTGATTGATGCATTTCCGCACAAGGAGAACTTGCACCTTGTGTTTGAGTTCATGGAGACTGACCTCGAAGCAGTGATTCGAGATCCTAATCTCTTTCTTTCCCCCGCTGATGTCAAATCTTACCTCCAAATGACACTAAAAGGTCTTGAATATTGCCATGACAAATGGGTTTTGCACAGGTAATACTGCTTCTACATATATCCTACTAATGGGTTGTTTACATTTACACACTTGATTGATTATCTTTCCCGTGTTTCTTCAGAGATATGAAGCCGAACAACTTGTTAATAGGCCCCAATGGACAGCTGAAACTTGCGGATTTTGGTTTAGCTCGTATATTTGGTAGCCCAGGTCGTAAATTCACACACCAGGTATTCTTTTTTTTTTTTGGTTGTGCATTGCTATTTAGTATTCACCTTGCTGCTTCGTTATCTTTCTTATCTTTGATTTAGCTGAAAAATTGCAATAGGTCTTTGCTAGATGGTATAGAGCACCTGAACTCTTGTTTGGTGCAAAACAATATGGTGCTGCAGTTGATGTTTGGGCTGCTGGCTGCATTTTTGCTGAACTTCTATTACGCAGACCATTTCTTCAGGTAAACTCCATTTTTTTTTTAATGGTCGTGATCCGATTCGTCTGTTTATTCTTTTCTCTGTTGCTTACCTATTCCATTGCAGGGAAACAGTGATATCGATCAATTAAGTAAAATCTTCGCCACTTTTGGGACCCCAAAGGCAGATCAGTGGCCAGATATGTTATGCCTTCCTGATTATGTAGAGTACCAATTTGTCTCTGCGCCTTCTCTACGTTCTTTATTCCCAACAGTTAGTGAGGATGCTCTAGATTTATTGTCAAAGATGTTCGCTTATGACCCCAAATCTAGAATATCGATTCAGCAGGCTCTACAACACAGGTACCTTAAAAGATTTCCATGGAGAATGCATAAGAACCGGTTATTTAGTTTTGTTCTCAAACCTTTGGATTGTGTTTGTAGGTACTTTACATCTGCACCTTCGCCTACTGATCCTTTGAAGCTCCCAAGACCAGTTCGCAAGCATGACGCTAAATCATCTGACAGTAAACTCAAAGCCATTAAAGTATTATCCCCTGCTCATAAGATGAGAAGAGTTATGCCTGATAGGGGAAAGCCTGATTATGGTTCCAAGGACAAGAGTGTTGATGTCATGAGACAAGCTAGCCATGATGGACACGCACCAATGTCTTTAGATTTCACGATCCTTGCCGAGCGGCCACCAAACCGACCAACCATCACCAGGTAAAAAACCAATTTTGTTCAGTACATTTGCAGTCAGTTCTTGTTCAGCTTTGATGAACGAAACTTTTTGATGGATTCTTGATTTTTGGTTTTGCAGCGCGGATAGATCTCATCTGAAGAGGAAACTCGATCTCGAGTTCCTATAGGATATAACGAATAGGCTTTTTCGTCAGGTCTCAGGTTGTTCATGGTTTTTACTGGTTCACCCATTCCTTATATTTTAGTCAATTTCTTTTCTATTTTTTTTTTTGGGTTTTGTTTTCTTGCCACGAGGGAAGACTTGTTATTTATTCATTTATCCATGTCGGTAGTTTACTCTAAACCACGTATTATACATATTAAGCTTTTTAATATTGAAAGAACTTCAGATATTTGTATGCTAACTAAGAAGAAATCGTGAAAGAGCTTTTAATACTTGTATTCTAAGAAATCGTAAAAGAAAAATAAATGATTACAGTGGGAAATTTATAAGAAGAACGAATTAGGGTGACTAGGTTACTTCATAAATGTTATAAGTGTATTAAAGCTTAATAATATGCTATATTAAAAATACGTGTAATTTATCTATTCTAAATTAGATATGTACATGAAAATATTTATGATCTGGATTTTCTAGATTCTAAAATAATTTGTATTCTTAATGTGTGCTCTTAGAGTAGATGCATGTAATCATCCTAAATAAATAAACTAATGGTAAGAAAAAATGGGCACCCCTTTGTTGATTTTTTCAAAGAAGACGAGTTTGTTTGTTTTGTTTAACGAATAAAACTGTAGACGGTTCCAATGTTTAGTAAACTCATATTAATGTGATACCCAACCCACATACTGTATAAATAATAGAGCAACAAAGATATTTTATTTCCTATTCATTTTGTAATTATCTAAACATAACTTTTCATTTCATTGTATAAATAATTGCATGAGCCCCTGTGACGGTTCATACTTCATAGAATCTGATGGATGTTCCCTATTCATCATATGCATGATTGGGAAGAATATTTGTGAAATTCTAGTTTTTTTTTAAATAAAAGTTGAATTTATACAAAAAAACGGAATGTTTCATTACAATGCTTGGCGTAGCAATGTGAATGTTTCGAACCCAAAATAATAATTAAAAAAAAACTCAAAAGAAACGTGAATGTTTCTAGATATTTTTTCAACATTTTAAAGTTTGATATCTACTGTAATTTTATTAGTATGATCGACGTATAATCCTAATTTAAGATCGAAAATGTATGAGTTGAGTTATAAAATGTATGAGTTGAGTTATAGTTTTATTAGTATGATCGATGTATGAGTTTTTTAGAAGTCAAAGAAACTAATTCTAAGCGCTAACAAATTGAAGAATCAATGTATCAATGGAATTCACTGTCGGAGAATCTGAGAATCTGTTGAAGCTGAAGGACTTGGTTTCTCTGTTCTGGTGGCAGCAAATTGATCTGCTCTGGTGTTAAGCTCATCACCTGTTGAAGTAATGCCTTCTCCATCTCTGCAGATATCTGCACAAATATATTAACAAAAGAAGATAAGCTCATTGCTCTCTGGTCAGCAAAAGTCCCTTTCCGGTAAAAGACACAACTGCAACTGGAAAACGAATGCTGAAAACGAAAGAACTACACAAACCATTGACATGAATATTAATCCTCCATATTTTCCATTTACATCGTTTAATATTTTAAGCAAAAACGTGTTCAGAACTAAAACCACGATAGCAATTATAAGCAGAATCATTCCGGAATAAAACAGTTTCCCACATCTAATAACGAATAATTATGAAAGATGTTGGAAAGAATCCTCATTAAATGGTGAAACCACTCACTGAAAGTACTGCGCTAGGGATGTAGTACAGGAGATAAAGCAACATAATTGCATTATCAATCAGCAAAACCACCGAATACGCCAAGTAAGAGTTATAAGTACCTGATATGGTGGCTGAGTAGGCAGATGTGGCCAGGGTCGAGAAGGTGAGGCAAACGAAGTGTATGGACGACGGAGAAGACACAGAAGGCGGAGGCATAGGCATCGGTTGTGGCGTCGGGTGTTTTCTAATAGGGGCTTGTGGCTGCATTGCAGGTGCTGGTTCCTTTTGAATGCTGCTCCCATTCACCTATTCTGTTTCTCACGGGCAACTTCGGCTTCTCGATGAAAAAGCTCCGAGGCATAACCTCAATTTGCATCTTCTCTGGCTGTGGCTGAAGTCTTTTCATGTCTGACTTCTCTGGCTTTGGCATTTCTGGCTGAAGTTGTGGAACATGTAGAAGCCAATTTTCACCATGACCCGGTTGTGAAAAATTCTCATTTGGGTCGTTGACTTTGACATATTCCTGAAGAATCAGGTGTTTCTCTTTTATGAGCCCAGAAGAGTAATTAGTTGATGCTTCAGAACTGCTGGATGCTTCATACTTTTGTGTAGTTTCGGCTTTGGATTTAGACACAGGTCACTTAGGTCTTGCAAAGCAAGATTTAGCTTCGTGGTCTTCTTCTCCACAGCTGAAACAATCAATAATCAGTTAATCAATCAATAAACACATAGGCAATAAATAATACATCAATTTAAATGGCATAAATTTTTACTTTTTGCAGCCCTTGTTATTTGCTTTGGCTTTTTCTTGGGGAAAAGTAATTCTGGATCTTATTCCTTTAAATGGGTCTCTTTCTTTTTGAGAAAGAATTTCCTTTCGTGAGAGTATAACTGCAATGCAAAGGCAAACCATATTAGCAAAATGGGAGTTGACAAATTAAGCGATAGAGAAAGGAAGGATTTGCTTATCAACCTTTTGATCTTGACGAGGAAAATTTAGAATCTCCTACATCAACACGGTCATATTTCTGTTGATTTACGCAGCACGAGACTGCAAAAATAACCAATTATAAACACCCGATTAGAAAAAACAGAAAATGAACCCTAATTTTCAGTAAAGAAAGAGGGTTGATTTGCGTATCAAAATTACCTTTTGACCCAGGTTTCTGCTCTTCATCGCACGAGACTGCCAAAATAAACCAGTTATAAAACCCAATTCAAAAAGGGAAAAGGAAAGATAAAGGAACCCTAATTTGAGGAAAGAAAGCGTCAATTACAACAGATAATGGAAGGGTTGATTTGGGTATAAGATTACCTTTTGACCCAGGTTTCTGCTCTTCATCGCACGAGACTGCCAAAATAAACCAGTTATAAAACCCAATTCAAAAAGGGAAAAGGAAAGATAAACCATAGATTTCGGAGAGAAAATTCACCTTTTAGATTTGGAGTATCATTTTTTTCTTTCGGCTGTGATTTTCCTTCCTTCGTCATGTCGAGTTCGAATAGAGAAGACCTCTAATTTCTAATCAATTGGAAAAGGAAAGAGGAATCGAAAGATACACTAATTTTCAATTGGAAAAGGAAAAATCGGAGGAGAAAAAGGAAAAATCGGAGGAGAAAAAGAATCGATCGGAGGAGAAAAAGAATCGCAGAGAGGAAGACGTGATTTCTTCTTCTTGCATATCAAAGACAGTTTAAGAAAAGACGTTTTGACGGGTTCAAAAAGACGTTTTTACCCTTCGAAATTCAAATTCAAACTATCAAATTATTTCCACGTAATCAATAAAGGATTTGCATCAATAAACATTCATGGTTTTTATTGTCGTTTAACCAAACTAGTAGTTTTGAATTCGGTGGAGGTTAAACGAGCAAACTACTGTTATTATGTAATCACAGAGTTGTCACGCTCGTACCGAGTTAACCGAATGAGCTAAGCCTTTTCAAAAAAAAACTTACTTAAAATAAAATCAAAGCTAATTGTGAATAAAGCCACCTATATTTTATAATAACTTCAGTGAAATTTTATCCTAATTTGTTACAAGGAAAAAGATAATCCTAATTTATTCTTAAAAGGGTTCGACTAAAGAAAACCAAGGCCCTGGAAAAGGATTATCAAACAAAGTCACTGTCTAATAGGATCTATCTGAAGCAAAAGTTTGCAAGCTACTTTTCTTAAACTCGTAAATGATCTTGAGAGTCTGGATATTAACATCTCGGATGGGGATCAGGCAATACAGATACTTACTGGTCTTCCACCGATGTTTGAAGCACTGGTCCATACACTCAAATATGGCAGTGGTAAAGACATGTTAACAGTGAGTGCTGTGATTGAATCAGCGTATGCAAAGGAGACAGAACTGAGGGAGAAAGGTCTCTTGAGCAAGTCAAAGACAGAAGCTGAAGGCCTGTACGTAGGAAACAAAAGTAAATTTGAGAAGAAGGATAACCAGTCTTCAAAGAGCAGATCAAAAGGCAAAGGAAAAAAATTTAAGAATAAAGACAAGGATGGCAAAGGCTGTTTCATCTGTGGGAAGGAGGGACATTGGAAAAGAGAATGTCCTGACAAGGGGAAGAGCAAGAATTCAAGCTCTGTTAATGTAGCTTTCAGCACCAAGGAGCCGCTGGTGTTAACGGCTAGTACTCATGACACTAAAGATGAGTGGGTCATGGACTCGGGGAGAAGCTTTTATATTACTCCAAACAAAGAGTTGTTGTTTGACCTGCACGAATTCAGTGGAGGAAAAGTCTTAATGGGAAATAACACAGTCTGCGAAATCAAAGGTATGGGAAAAATCAGAATTAAGAAACCAAATGGTTCTGAAGTGATACTCACCAAAGTGTAATACATGCCATCCATGGGAAGAAATTTGATTTCATATGGGTGTTTGGAGAAATCGGGCTGCAAGTATGAAGGAGAGGGTTTCAGGGTTAAGTTCTTCAAAGATGGAAATGAAGTAATAACAGGTGTCTACAAGAATGGACTGTACTACCTCGAAGGAAATGTGCTCGGTGGTGAATCAAACTCGGCAAAGACTAATGTTTATTCCACCAGGAAATGGCACTCAAGGCTTGGTCACATGGGTCAAAAAGGCATGGACATGTTGGTAAAGGAAGGGTATTTGACCAGCAGGGATGTTCAGACCTTGGGATTCTGTGAAAGCTGTGTGTTGGGAAAAACACATAGGCAGAGTTTTCCAGAAGGGAAGCATACGTCAAAGGAAATCCTTGAATACGTTCACTTGGATTTATGGGGAGCACCTTCTGTTATACCACACTTAGCAGGAAATCAATACTTCATTACGTTTATAGATGACTATTCAAGAAAAGTCTGGATATTCTTCTTAAAGACAAAGGACGAAGCATTCCAGAAGTTTAAGGAATGAAAATCTCTCGTGGAGAATCAAACCGGGAAGAAAGTAAAATGCTTGAGAACTGATAATGGATTGGAATACTGTAACAACCAGTTTGACACACTGTGTAAAGAAGCAGGAATCAAACGACATCGTACATACACCTATACCCCTCAACAAAATGGGGTCTCTGAGCGGATGAACAGGTCTATTATGGAGAAGGTTAGGTGTATGTTAGCTGAGAGTGGCCTAGGTGAGGATTTCTGGGCAGAAGCAGCTTCTACAACTGTATATCTGATCAACAGTTCACCAAGTTCTTCGATTGAGTTCAAAGTCCCCGAAGAATTATGGTCAGGCTCTAAACCTAATATTACACATCTCAGAAGGTTCGGTTGTGCAGCTTATGTTCATACAGTACAAGCAAAGACTAGCCCGAGAGTAGTAAAAGGGTATTTTGTTGGTATCCACAAGGTACAAAGGGATTCAGGATCTGGTTACCAGAGGAAGGAAAGTGTACCATAAGTAGGAATGTTGTTTTCCATGAAGAAGAGGTCTTTAAGGAAAATACATCAAAATCAGAGTCCGAAATTGAGAGGGTGAAGCCAGTGAAAGAGAAAGTCATGGGTAAAGGAAAAGGTAAGAGTGTGTCTTTTAACCCAGTGTTCACTCATGGTTCTCGAGGTACGAAGGGACCACATATGATTCAGCATTGGATATCCCAGAAACTACAGGGTCATCAGTTTCAGGTGGAGTAACCTCAGGCACAAAGTCCTTAACGTCTGATGACGAGGACTCAGGATCTGAAGATGTTCCGAACAGTGATGAAAGTGATGATAATGCTGGAGATCATGGAACATTGGACGATTACATATTAGCAAGGGATAGAGGACGCAGGGATACTAGGATGCCCTCAAAGTATGATGGTTTTGACGTAACAGCTTATGCCCTATAGGTAGCTGAAGACATTGAGATTGACGAGCCGAGATCATTCACAGAAGCAATGAGTAGTAAGGATAAGGAAGAGTGGAATTCTGCTAGTCATGAGGAAATGGACTCACTGCGTAAGAATGAAACATGGGATATCGTTGACAAACAAAAAAAAATGGATTATTGGGTGTAAGTGGCTTTTCAAAAGGAAACCAGGAATACCAGGAGTAAAAAAGCCTAGGTTCAATGCTAGATTGGTTGCTAAAGGTTTCTCACAAGTGGAAGGAGTGGACTACAATGAAGTGTTTGCTCCTGTAGTGAAGCATGTCTCAATAAGACTTATGTTGTCACTAGTGGTAAATGAGGACTTTTAGCTTGAACAGTTGGATGTTAAGACAACCTTCCTACATGGCACATTAGATGAAGAAATTTATATGGAGCAGCCAGAAGGTTTCAAGGAAAGGGTAAAGAAGATAAAGTTTGTCTCCTAAAGAAATCTCTATATGGACTTAAACAGTCACCAAGGCAGTGGAACAAGAGATTTGATGGGCTTATGAAAGATCAGAAATTTTGTCAAAGTTTGTTTGATCCGTGTGTCTACATCAAAGGTTCAAGTGTTCAGGATATTGTCTATCTTCTGATCTATGTGGATGATATGCTAGTAGCTTTAAAGGATTCAGTCAGTATTAAAAGGTTGAAAAAAAGTTTGAGTCGAAAATTTGAAATGAAGGACTTGGGAGCTGCTACAAGGATTCTCGGGATGGATATAATCAGAGATAGAAGCAAAGGAGTTCTTCGCTTATCACAAGAGAAATACTTAAGGCAAGTATTGGTGACATTTAAAAATGTCAGGATGTAAACCGGTTGCTACACCTCTCGGATCACAGTTTAGGCTCAAAAGCTTAGATAAGAAAGAGTCAGAGACAGAATCTAGATTCATGACAGATGTTCCGTATGCAAGTGCGGCGGGTTGTCTTATGTATGCAATGGTGGGTTCTTGTCCCGATTTGGCTCATGCAGTTGGGGTGGTTAGTAGGTTTATGGGAATACCAGGGAGAAATCAGTGACAAGCGGTTAATTGGATTATGAGGTATCTTCAAAGGACGGTTGGTCACAGCTTAACTTTTACTAAGAACTCAGAGTTTAAAGTAGAAGGTTTCTGTGATGCCGACTATGCAACTGATTTAGATCGAAGGAGATCAGTTACGGGCTATGTTTTTCAGGTAAGAGGCAATACAGTAAGTTGGAGATCAGGACTCCAACAAATAGTTGCACTCTCAACCACAGAGACAGAGTATATAGCATTAGCCGAGGCTACTAAAGAAGCTCTATGGCTGAAAGGTATTTGCGAAGATTGGGATTTTGAGCAACAGGATGTTAAGATTCATTGTGATTATCAAAGTGCTATTTGTTTAGCTAAAAATGGAGGATTTCACGAAAGAACTAAACACATACATACTCGGTTTCATTTCATTAGAGATGTTATTGCAAAAGGGAGTGCATCAGTTATTAAAATTCATACGTCATTGAATCCGGCAGACATTCTAACTAAGAGCGTACCTGGTAAGACCTTCGAGAGAGGCTTGGAGTCTCTCAGAGTCATAGCCTGATTCGGAATTTATGACTGTAGAGGTGTTTGGTTGATTTGTCATCTTGCAGTCAAGAAGGAAGAAACCAAAGAAGAGTTATTTGGATTCTTTACAAAAGAAAAAAAAATCAACAGTCAAAAGCGTCAGTTGAATGTTGCTGGGAAGTTAGAGGAGGTTCTAATTACCTTGTGGGTTGCAGTTCTTCTGGGGTTCATGAGATCGTCTTGAGCTGAGGAGCTTAGTAGACTAGATCTGAGGTCCAAGGTTTTGCATGGTAGAAGATTTGAGTTCTCATAGTCGATTCCAAATCGATTTGGGGAATAAGTTTCGAAGTACCAGAAAATAACTGGATGTGCTCATCAGAGGTGATGAGGTGAGACGGAGCTGAGCGGCAAAGGTTAAGCTGGATTTTGCCGGAGATTCCATCAGTGTTTTTCGGTGTTGTGTCGGGAAGGATGAAGTTCGATAGAGACAAGGTGGAGTTTTGTGGGTTTATGTCTCTACATCGAAGCCCAAATATAATGATCTATTGGGCCAATATTACAAAAGACGGAGAAGCCCAATATTCAACACATCGTCTTCTACAAATTAGTCAACGGAGTTTGTTACGAGCTCGACACAAGAAAGACAAAATTGCAGAGAGACTAGAAATATCAGTGAAATCAGAGGGATTCATTGGGATTATCTGAAGCTCTTTGTCATTAGGATCGATACGGGGTTTACACAATCTTGTGTGTCATCTTTCTTCCTCCCGAAGTAGCACTGGCTGAGCTTATGGATTCTCTTCCTGAAATCTGGAGAAATATAGCATAGAGTTAGTGTAGGAGGTTGTAAAGAGAGATTCTTCTTGTAAACCATATCGGAGGTGATTTCCGATCAACTTAGTGGAATCTTGAGAGCTTCGCTCTCCCCAGACATAGCGACAATTGTCGTGAACTGGGTAATCAACTTTGCTGTGTTCTAGAGTTCTTAATCTAGATTTGAGTCGACTAAATATTAGATCAAATCGCTACAATCGTATTTAGAAAAATCTGTTACTTAGTTAGACTGCCTAAAACTCCATATATACGACTCAACTATTCAAACTATATTATTTTTTTTTTAAGAAGAAGAACGTTAAATATAAATAAAATTCTTACACATAAAATTTTGCTCTCCTTTCAGCACTGTTGTGCATCATTTAAAGGCCTTCAAGATCCATATATATATGATTTATACTAAAATGTGTTCCAAATACTCGTAAGAACTCAAATATAACGATCCATGCATGAACATATAATATAAAAAAAAATCCCTCTCAATTGGGCCTCTCTCTCTCTCTCTATATATATATATATATATACGTTCATAAGGATGCATTTACATGTTTAAAACTCATCTTCCTTCGGCGAAGGAAGACATGGTAATGGAGGTCCTCGAGTACTCCTCAACAACGCTATTCTGTCCGGGCGCTCCTCCTCCAATACTTCTTCTACTATTAAAACTGTTTGGTTTGCTACTGGTTAATCCAAAAAATTTTGAACCGCCTCCTGTACCGGTCCTGGTACTTGTATAACCGCCTCCTCTACGACCTTCCAGGACGACCCGGTCTAGGAAAATCGAATAAATTGCTAGATAACATCTGATGAACCATGTTCATGTCCGGTCTATTTGATGTGATTTGCTGGGAACAAAGCAACCCTATTATAAAACATGTGGCTGCTTCGTCGCAGTTGTATACTCCTGCTAGAGATTGATCCACCAATGCCAGAATTTTGCCTTCTTGGTACATCTTCCACGCCTGTACCGAATATAGATTATGGTTATTGAGTCAGACGACCAATTTTGGTTCCAATGGAAAATGAGCAAATGTTAGATTTGTTGACATCTAAGCAGAACAAATGGAAACATGCATAGGGGGCTGAATTTGCATGGTTTGGTACAAAACCATGATCCGGGTTGGTTATGGTGTGTAGTAATAACCGATTAATTAAGTAAACCACGATTCTGATATCAACCATAATTAATTGGTTAGTTGGTATAGATTGTGTTAAAAAGAACCGATTGAGAGTATGGTTTAAACTTACATAGCTCAAGAGATCGGCCATCTCCGGTCCAAGACGAGGAATTTGGTTCTTTCTTCCGCTGACTATCTCCAAAACCAAGACTCCAAAGCTGAAAACATCTGATTTGACAGATAAAAGCCCGTGCAAGGCATACTCAGGAGCCATGTAACCACTGCATGAACACTCACATATATAAGACTCTTAACTATACATATACAACATTCGTATTTTTTCTCCCTGAGATATCAGAGATTGTAATGGGATTTGGTGAACTCACTAAGTCCTAGAGATTCTAAAAGTATTGGTATGAGTGCCATCGCCTGGGAACAACCGGGCCAAACCGAAATCAGAGATTTTCGGGTTCAAGTCATTATCTAGAAGAATGTTGCTGGCTTTATGTCTCTGTGGAGTATTCGAATCGGAGCTTCTTCGTGTAGATATAACAGTCCTCTTGCCACGCCTATAATTATTCGCCATCGACTGTACCAATCAACTAAACTGAGATTTATTTTATCTGAAATTACAGAGAAATCAACGGTTCAATCATACTGGTCTGATCAGTTGAATGAATTAGTCAGACAAGAACCGATGATTCGGTCCAGTTCGGTGTGGTTTGTTTCAACAATTAAAAATTAAATCATAGGAGATCAATAAGATGGAAACTAAGAAATGTTGTATTAAGGACACTTCCAATGAAGGGATTTAGAAAAACTTTTATAAATTAAAATAAAGAAAAAAAATAAAAATAAGAGCGAGAGTTCTTAAAATCCTTATTTAAAGGCTCTACATGTATTTTTTAAAGGCTCTACATGTATTTTTTTTAAAGGCTTTACATGTATTTTTTTAAAGGCTTATTTTTTTAAGAACTTCATTTTCTAAAGGCTCTACATGTATTTTTTTTATTGGTTTGTTTTTAATTTTAGAATTAAAATTTAATTATATAACTATATTATTAAAATATCAATATTTATTTGTTTTAGATTCCCAAGAGATGGTCTAACCAAATAGAAAATAATCAAGACTCCGGTTAGGGAGATAGTCGTAAACCAGCATCTTCTCGGGACCATGGAAGCAACAACCCAGCAACGAAACCAAGTTCTTGTGTTGAATCCTAAGCAAAAGCTTAACCTCGTTCGTGAATTCTCTCGACCCTTGTCTAGAATTCACCGATAGTTTCTTCACAGCTACTTCTTCACCACTCGGCATCAGTCCCTATATATTGTCGATTCATTCGAATAAACGTCGCTTTTTTCCAACCCAAAAAAAACAAGAACTTTCTAGTGTTTGTTTACCTTGTAGACAGGGCCAAATCCGCCGTGTCCGAGCCGATTCTTCTCGGAGAATAAATCAGTTGCGGTTTCAAGACCTAATTTGTTCTTAGCTTTGAAGACCTAATTTCTAATTAGTCGCTGCTTCAATGTCAATTTTCTTCTAATGCTGTGACAATCCCTGATTTTCTTACGTTTTCTAGGCTGGAACAGTTATATCTCTCTCCAGATTCCGTATTTCAGTGGTTTAATTCTCTTTTTAATCTGATTTTCTCAAGACATTGATTTCGGAGAAACAAATATTTTGTCCAGCCTTTGATGCCTTGTTTTTTTGTGCTTAGAACATTGTTCATTTTGTTGTGAGGAGTCTTGTACACTTGAAGTTTGATACCTTAACTGTTTCTTCAGTTACAAGCGGAATGGTATTTTGCAGATGCTTAAGAGGAATTTATCTGTGAAACTTGCTCCCCAGAGGTGGCAAGATAATGCTGGTGATGGTGTGTTTGATGTTGTAATGACATTTGAAGAAAAGGTTTTCGATTCAGTTCTTGAAGGTAATCTAAATCCTCCCCATTTTACTATTAAATACTTTGTTTCAAAGTTGCTTGATGTTCCATTTGAAGAAGATCGAAATGTTGAGACTTTTATCTTTTCTATGCGCGTTGTTTCCCAACAATCTTTTCATTTTGTAAATTATCTCGAACTAGTTATGTTAGATGTATAAATATGAATTGTTGAAGTTGTAAAGCATCGACAAGTCGTGTGAAACTCAGTTATTTTAATGGGTTAAATTCCATTTCTCGTAACTTAATTTGCTTGCTATATTCACTAGCTGAAAATCGATTGCAGTCATTGTTTGATGGAGTTTTCTTGCTGTGTGAAAGTAATTTGCACGTTGTTGTGTGTCATACTATCTTCATCTCATCGACTTGGATACTGTTACCAACCTGCAGATCTTAACAACAGAGAACAGCCACTTATGAAAACCATACTTGTGATGAACTTGGAAGTTAAAGATAACCACGAAGAAGCAGCTATTGGTGGCCGACTCGCCTTGGAACTCTGTCAAGAGGTCAGTAATCCTATCAAGAAATCTATCCATTCGATTGTTCACCTTTTTTACTGTCATCACTCTTGTATTAGCAGCTTTTGATACAACTATATACTGGGGTTATACTAACATCGACGATTGTTTGGTTTTAGATTGAAGGGAATGAATCATGGGAAGATACAATTGATGACATTGTCGCGGGTTTTGAAAAACAACATAGGCGGAAACTTGTCTATAGCATCTCATTTTACTGAAGAGATACAATCATTAGTTGCAGTAAGCAGCAACGCGAGCTTTCTTTTGATATGCTTAAGGTTTTATGGTCGAGAGTGGAGAAGAAATTGTTTGTTAGAAACTGAGAATTTGTTTTCCTAAACACATGCCACTGCTTGTTTCTCCTTGCTTGAAAGTTGAAACAGAGCCTTGATGAGTTGATTCTACATACCAAAACTGTTTCTGTTTTTTACACTACTTGTCTTAACCCAAGCATTACTTCATCTTTAATGTCGCAATCTAAGTTAACGTGTTTGTGTAAAACCCAAGTCGTGTACCAATTGAATTAACCCAACCCCTAGAATCATGTGTAAGTCAATTTCAATGTTCCACGCCCGTGAGATTAGATATTTATAGAAACCCAATGGCGAAAAGTCATTTTAAAATTCGATGACGATCATACTCTTCACTATATAACTTTTCGTTCGTCCCACGGTTCTTAATGTTTAGCTTTAAACCCATCAGGACACCACAGACCCAAGAAATAATGAAGAGCCGTGAAACGCAAGAAGACCCTCTTCAACAAGAAAGTCGACATCTTCACCAAATCTTGATATCGAAGATATTCAAATCACATAAATTCTTTCAAAACCTTGTGTTGTGTTCGTTTCTTATCGGTTTCGGATTCGGACTCGGCTTCATACTCAACTTCCACATAAGAAACGTCTCATTCAGTCCCCAACTCTTTCGTCTATCTTCTCTTGCCTCCTCCTCTTCTCTCTCTCCACCGCTTCAACCGCCGCCAACATAGCCAGGAAATTGCGTTTTTAGAAAAGAAACTGTTGCGACTGATGACGACGATGATGGGCAAAAGAATCATTCTCTGGTGGAGCCGGAGAACGTGATGCATAACATGTCGGAGGAGGAACTCTACCCTGTGTATCTACAAAAGGCGATTGGATATACTGCAGCGGTGAAGACAGGTATTACTCTCTACCCTTTAATCAAATTTCTTACTTATGGGTAAATTGCAGGAGTTTGTTTATTAAAGGAATGTCTTATGGTTCCTTTCTTTTGATGCTCCTAACACTGGTGCTCTAACTTACAGGAAATTGTACTGCTTCAGCTATCAAACCGGTGGACTTGAGCATTTTATGATGGTAAGCATATATCCAACAGATTCTGGGTTGTTGAAATTAAAAAGTTGCATTTCGCACCTAAAAAAAAAAACTCATAATCTCATAACTTTAACTTACTAGAGTCATGAAGACCCTTGTGTATATACATGTTTTGATATCTATAAAGCTCGCTTAGATTTTAGTCCTCTCTCGTGGCAATGCTTGTCTTACGTTTCTAATCTAGTCTGATTAGAAAACCTGGTGACTGAAAAAGGCTTATGTTTATGGCAGGTGCATGAGAAAGATGTGATAGGCGTAACACACCACCCACATAGAAACCTTGTCGCAACCTATAGTGAAGATTGCACCATGAAGTTGTGGAAGCCCTGAGAGTTGCCTTATCATCAAGCCTTACTTTTTGTATGATTAAATCTCCCGACTTTGTTTGATTTTGCTATTGAAAAAGGCATCGCGACTCTTGGTGCTCGGGTTAGAAGTTAGAACTAGTGTAAGTTATATGTTAAACAATCTTAAACCGCCGATACAGAAGACTTGGCTTTTTTTTTTTGGGAACACTACTCAGAGACGTGTTTAAGAATTAAGATTGTTTCACACCGGCTATGTTCCATGTTTTAAACTAGAGATAATTATTAGAACAACCTTCAAAAGTTGCCTCTTTACTAAAATAACTTTGCCCCAAATTTGGAAAACTAAACTAACATTCAAAAGATGGTTAAAGACATTAAAGTCTATCTTTTCGTTTTTATAAACAAAATGCCATTATTTTTTCTTTCCCTTAAAATTTAAAACAAATAATTAAGAGAGAAAATATATATAAGAAGTAATAGTTAGAAACCCTAATTGTGTTTCTAAAAAAATTTCTGCCACGGTTGCGGCTACAGTGTGCGGCGATTTTGGTTTTCGGTCGAAGAAGTCCTCTTCTCCGGCGAGATTCAGTAAGGTCCTCTTTCTTCTTCTCTGTTTCTTCTTCTTCTTTCCTCTCCTCTGAGATTCTGTTTCTTTCTATGTTCGTCTTCTTCTTTCGTCTTCTTCCTTTCGTCTTCGTCGTCTTCGCCGTCTCCGACAAAACTTTAAGCATCGTCGGGGCGATTTTTAGGGCGACCGCCGTCTAAAGTTTGTACCTTTATTAAACCCTAATATTAATATTTCACTTTTCCACTTGTAAGAGACGTATTCCGGTGAAAGGTGTCGTATTTCGAGAGGTTTGTCGACCGGCGTCGAGTTTGAGGTAGTTCTGTAGGTTTTTTTGTTGTTTGTTTAGTAAGTTTGGGTTTAGAGTTAATGTGATAGACTTGTTTATTGTTTGATAGACATATTGTTTTAGTTTGATAGACTGTATTTTGTTTTGATAGACTTTATTTTATTTTGATAGAATCGTCTACAATTACCACGCGCCTCAAATCCTTCGTCACAAATCCTAAATCCTTCACTAACCTCCCATCGATCTCGCTACACGCGTCTCTGTAAAAGCTTCGAGATATCACGCGCCGCTCCGGATCCAATTTATCGAGCACGAGCGATGCATATTCTCTCAAACCCGCCGTGAAAACGACGATCTGGTACTTTTCTCGAATCTTCTTCAGGAAATCGTCGACTCCTGGCCGTTTGATCACGAAGAAGGTTAAGATCTGACCGTCGATTCTGGGCCTCACGACGAAATCGTGAGGTACATCGGGTTTCTCCAGTTACGAGTGGACAAGCGTCTCGTCTAGATCTAGAACGATCGTCTTCTTCGTCTCGTCGGTAGACTTGTTGATTTATGTTATATTTTGCGGTAAACTTGTTGATTTATGTTATGTTTTGCGGTAGACTTGTTAGGTTAATTGCGGTAGACTTGTTGACTATACTTTCAAAGGACCATGTTTTTTTTTGTTTGAAGTTGGTCCTTTGAAAGTTTGGTAGGTTGGAACATGCTGTATTAGCCATGTGGATAACTATTCCCACAGAAATTTTTTCTTTATGGGATCAATGGCAAATATATTATCCTGCATATTGTCTTGGTAGATTTGATTGCAAAGAAATACCAACTACAAATAACAACTACAAACAATGACAACCCTTTAAAGTTCACTTTAAGAAAGAAGATAGCTACACTCACCACTTATTAAACACTATAGCATACAACAACAAACATCTAAGTTCAAGCTCGGCATGTAGCTCGATTATGGCCGCTTACCCCACAGTTTCCACACTTGTGTTCTTTTCTTGGACGTTTCTTCTGCATTGCCACTTCCAATGCACTTTTTATACGCGATTTTTTGGGCCGTCAGGGTGGGATACAAATGAAAAAGGGCTTAACATACTTTCGTACCCACTTCATCGGGCACAGGTAAGGCGGTATCTCTTGGCATGATTACCCCCGAGTAAGCGTTATACAGGTAAGATGTTCGGAAATAGGAATGACATAGAGGGACAATATCAATTTTTGCAGCATTAGCGGCTGCAATAGCATGAACACAATGGATTTTATCAATGTCGAACCTTCGGCAAGTACATTTTCGCGCTTCCAAGTTTACAACATGCAATGACGACCCACCAGTGACCTGTGCTCGATGTTCATCTATCTCTTGAACATCCAGTTGCTTGGCTTCCTGAACTTTGACCTGTTTACATAAATCTACCAAATTGTATTAAATCTATCATGGAAAAACAAATCTACCATTAAGAAAACAAGTCTATCAATAAGCAAACAAGTCTACCAATCCCTTAAGATAACTTATGTACCAAAACAAAAACTTACGTACCTGGAGCAATTTTTCAACACCGGTTGTAAGCTCAATTTTCATTTTACTTGCGGACCGGTGTCTTTTTGCAAACCATCTTGTAAGTAATGATCCTATCTCATATAAAAGTGTTACGATTGGATAACTTCTTGCCATCGAAAGGACCTTGTTTATTGATTCTGCTATGTTTCTGGTTGTGATATTGTATCTATCTCCTGGGAAATGCACCCGAGACCACATACGTACATCCGCTTTTTGCAAATAGTTATAAAGACCATGATTAGAAGCTTGTATTTGCCCAAATAGAGCAGTGAACTCCGATAGCCTATATGCCTTTAATGTCCTTAAGAAACAGGTCTACCATTATTATCACTTCATAATAAGTCGACCAATTCTGAATAAATCTACCAATGCCATATATATCTACCTATTTCTAACAAATCTACCAAATTCTGCAAGTCTATCAATATCGTTTTAAGTCTATCAGGTTCGTGTTTCTTGATCTCATGAATAAATCTACCGTCATATTAATTAAGTCTACCAAAATTAGTATAAATCTACCGTCTCATCAAATAAATCTACTACACAATAACCGTACATTATCATTAATTAAGTCTACCGTGTCGGCTAATAAATCTACCATTTCAATAACAAATCTATCAGTACAAAGATAAATCTACCAACACACTTTAAAATCTATCAAACCATTATAAATCTACCGTCATTAAAAATAAGTCTACCGTCATTAAGGCTCAAACCATCCAACAATAAGTCTATTATCATTACACAAAAGTCTATCTCGGACGACAATAAATCTACCGTCATATAGTATAAATCTACCAATCCGGTATAATGTCTACCAAAAAGTCAACCAAAGTCAATCTTGTCGAAAAAAGTCTACCAGATCGTATCAAATCTACCCTCATTATAAACAAGTCTACTGGAAATTAAATAAGTCTACTAACCACTAACATCTCTACCTAACGTAAGAATAAATCTATCAAAATAAGTCTACCGACTTCAAAACAAATCTACCGCCTTGAAAACAAATCTACCGTTTTCGAATAAATCTACTGACCCAAAACAAATCTACCGTTTCAAATATAAGTCTACCAAAATTTTATAAGTCTACCATCAAATATTGGTAGACTTGTTTATTTGAGCGCATTGGTTTTTTCGTAAATAAATCAAACTTTTGCTGACGTGGATTATAAATAGTAATGGCAGTTTCGTAAATACGTTTTTTCTTATCAAATGTCAAAAGGGTAGAATGGGTACCGTAGGTTATTCTAATAATTAAAATTTTTGAAGGTTGTTTAAATAATTTCACGATTTTTGAAGGCTTTTATAGTTATCCTCCCTTTAAACTAAGTGAGACCAGAATCAGAGAAGCCGGAAGAGAGTTAGGAGAGCTTGTGTACATCTTCTGGAGAGATGGAACGATTGAAACCTGGACTGAAACCTTGATTGAAACCTGAACGCTTTCTTGCAATTCCTCAACTCCAGAACAAGTCCAATTCCTTCACCTTACTCATCATTTTCATCATCAAGTTCAGCTTCACAAAGTTTTTTAAAAACTTATTATGATCAAACCAATTGAGTCTTGTGCAGCAAAAATTTAGGAATTAATGGAAAATTTTAAAATTTTTGGTTGCCTGGAATATCAGAATCAAGTTCAAGTCAAAACTCGGATATTACAACTACTTGAAACTGGACAAAGTAAAAATCATGTTGATGAATTACTCACAGGTTAATTTAAAAAACAAGGATACACGGGCTGCTTTCCCTGGCGAACATTACAACGGTAAAAGCGGAGTGTCTAGCGAATTATTCAAAACAAAAAACTGTATCTCTTAACAAATCTAAGAAGAGAAGAAAAGGAAGAATTAAGATCAGCAGGAGAGAATGTGACTGTACTAGCCAGACTATTGCCATGTCCCTTTGAACCTGCAACAAACAGTCAAAAATAAATAAGACAACACCGAGAATTCTATAAACTAAAAATTGTGTGGTGTGACAAACTTACAATGTAACATCCCAACAAAATTGGTGAGTAAATATGCTCCAAACCATGAGAAATCATCATCAAATGCACCATAGGAATCAAACCCAGAGTAAAATGTGCTACTATCAAACGTCAAGTCGTATGGAGACAGAATGTTACTGTCCAAGAGCTTCTCCTGTTCACTCTGATACTGAGATGGCAAATCCCTGCCTGTGACGCCGTCGTCATTTCCATGTAAACTAAGAGGTTGAAGTACTCCTCCTGGGGCCTCAAACCCGCTGTTGTGCATTCATCTCTATCTCTGTATGGATGATGTCTTCTTCCTGATTATTCACAAACACTGCAGAGGGATTATAAAAGTTATAACCTGAACCAAATTGCAACTCTTGGTTGGGGTTTGGTCCATAGAGCATTGGCCTTTCGTCGACAGGCATCATAGCTTGTCCATTTCCCGGTGGAAGATAAGTACAGTTGTTATTGAACTCAGGAACCACCATTTCCAGATCATTCAGCAGCCTAGCAGAACTCATGGAACCTGAAGCATCCTCTGTCCCATCAACATCATAGTCACTGTCACTGTTGATCACCGGTTTTCTCCTGTCAGCGTTATTACCCCTTCGATGTGTCTCGGTTACATTAGATGTTCCATTGTCACTGCTAGGCTGCTGAATGAGGGATTCCTCTTGGTTCAAAACCGCTAACCAAATCGCACTCTCTTTAGCAGTCATCTTGTCCTGTAAACATTTTGACTGGCGAACATGCCTCTTAATCTTTGCAATATCAGGCGACATATGGTTGATCACAGCCGTCAAAACCCCAACTTTCCACAGCTTCTTGAGATCGTGCGGTTTTCTATAAGGAGGGCTCTGGCTTTTAGGCAGACCGAGTTTCACCCACCATTCTTCATCCCCCGTTGGCCACCAAGGTGGAGGAGTCCCTTTCTCCAAAGGGTACTTCCTCTGCGGAGGATCACAATGTTGCATCAATGAAGACAACAGAGACCCTAAAGCTGCATCTTGCAGGTCTTGGAAAACAAACTGCGAATTTCTATTCCCATCTGATTTCCCAAAAGCTAACCACTCCTCTTCGTACTTAGCATTTTAGGATTCAGCTTGGTTACTCAGGAAGAAAGCACAAATTCAAGATGAGAGAAATGGAACAGAGGCATTCATCATTCTGCTAAACCCAGAAACAAATTTGTAAGCATAGAGAGAAATTAGAAGTTACCTGAGAGAGATCAGATGAGAGAAATGAGATGAAGAATCGACAAGAACAAATGGACAAAAATAGGATGACCCTTCGCAGCAGCAGAGAAAAATACAATAGTCACATGATTCTTCCACTAGTATTGATAACATAATAAAATCAGGACATTCTTAAGAATAGATGTATATATATATATGTAGAGAAGAGAGAGAGAGAGAGGCTGATCAACCAAAATGGGCAACTACGTAATGACATTTCTACTTTAGCTTTGAGAACATGTATAAAGTCTTGCAAAATCTATGTTTTCTTTGAATCTAAAATACTTGATTCACTTTGCCAAACAAGAAGAGCACAAGAGTAAAGATTGCAAATTTTATTTATATAAATCAAACTGCAAAAAAAAAACATACACGAAGACACCCAAAACAACTTATATCCCCTCAATGTGATTCATTGAGTCAGAGATGATATAATTAAATAGTTTGAACCAGGGAGTGAGAACATCAGATAAAAACAGAACCAGCAAATAGGACCTTAACGTTATCTGTGTCTATGAGTTTACCGGACCAGTCAATATACCCCCAAACCTCCCATTCCTCGCTTGCCTCGCTTACTTTGCTTTTCTTCAGGGAAATCTCGGCAGACCAGAGCTCAACACTCTTAGGACCTTCAGGCTGCGGGTTCACGTTCCAGAAGATGACCATCTTCCCAGTAGAGTCCCTGCAGAGTTTGGTGATATCATATTCTTGAAGCTCTTCTAAACCCTTGACTTCCTTCCAATCCAACTCATATGGCAAACACCATAGTATTTTCCCGCGGGTACCACCACGACAGAATATAAAAGTCCCAATCAAACACCAGTCAGCTCTGTCTTGTGGCTTAGAATCATCAGTTTTCTCGCTGGCCACAAACATACATTGACTTGGTGAGAAGGAGAAGCTCTGACCATCCTCAGCTAGGACGTAAACCTCCTTCTTCTTGTCAATCACCACGCTTTGTTGGATATTAAGGGTCTTATTGTTCAGGGTCGGTGTAGACACAGACAAGAAATCCCAGGTTTCAGTGTTGAGATCGTATACCTCAGCCCAGTTTGATGAATCAGCGTCATCCCCACACCCTCCAAAAACGTAAATTTTATCGTCTATAAGGCTTGCCGATGCGGAGGCACGAGCCATCTTCATGGGCGGTATACGGAACCAGGTGTGCTCGAAGCAGTCGAAAAGCGACACATCCGAAGTGGGCTTGCCGTTGACGAGTCCACCGATGATATAGATCCCCCAATCCATCTCCACGAAAGAGGATGATGCTGGAGTCTGATACATATACGAATCGATCGGTTTCAGCCGGCGTTGCACGGGGTGGAGGACGAACCACCGTGGGTTTGGTTCGGATAAGATGTGCAAGCATACGTATAGATAACGCTCGCAGAAACCCATCCGAGACCTCAAGTCCCAGAGCTCAGGGGAAACTACGAGAGACCGGTGTGACTTGGAGGCGATAGCTAAGGCCGCCAGGTCCAATCTCGAGACTTGAGCCAGGCAGTTCAAAACCACCGCATCTGGCAACGACCATAACCCACACACCTTCCTCGTTTTTTTCTTCCTCGTTTCATTCTGCGATGCCGTTAATGCCAATTGAGATTGTCGGCATCCCCGAATTGCACTTGTTCCTTTCATCCTTTGATTATTACCGGAGCCGGAGCGGATCGATCGATTTACCTTTTGGCCTTAAATCTCAATCAAGTTAGGGATTTTTTTCTTTGTTCGTTCACAACTTGTCAAGCAAGACACCATAAATAAGTAGTTGTCGGAAAAGAAAAAAGGAAAAGAAAAAAAATAGAAAAAAGTTAAGAATTAAAACGAGAGTAGGAAACAAAATTGATCCCAAAACAAAATTTCCAAATTGGAAAATTCTGCCTTTTTTATCATTTATTTATTGGTGTAATTTGCAGTTCAGACACCTGATGCAAAGACCAAACACTTTGGTTCTTCAGAAGTGAGAACTGGTTCAAGGATTCACTTTGGAAATCCTCCAATTTGAGGATTAAGATCAAAATTGATCACTTCACAAGTCACAATTAACAACATTCATTCATTCACCTTATTCTGAATTAAACTTCTCAGTTTCTCTAAATGCAAATTTTCAAGCTCACGCCTACTATTTTGTAATAGCCAATGCCCAATCGTCTTACAACTTATCTGAGTTTATCTACACTATTACACGAGGTCAATTCAATAATGCTTACATCTAAATGAAATCTTCACCAGTCTGATAGAAGAAATCACTTCACTTTTCTTCTACGATACCTTTGAGATCCTAAGTTTAAGCTTCTAATTTCGTGGATATTTAATACATGTATGTATGATGTATCTATGGAATGTTCTATGTACCTTTAATCTGCTTTTTTCTTTCTTTTTTTTTTTTACAGAAACAAGAATCGATATAATTTGAAATTTTGCTGATCTTATCTCTCATCATGGCGCTGAAGAAATTGAATAATCAGTGGATATATTTCGCTCCGGGCCTGTAATGATTATAATGAAACAGTGAATATAATCAAAACATAATTCTGTTAAGTGATAAGGAAAAACAGAATGAAGAGAAGTTGATCACTCATACCGTTCGACCAGAAATCATATCTTGGTGGCCATAATGTGGACCTCCGGGTGATCCTAAGACTTTAAAAGTGGCTAGATGTTCTGGAATCAGCTTTACAGTATCTGCTCATCAGATCAAACGCCATTAAACACCGGTTAACGATTACATCAATCAAGAGAAAGGAGTCTTAAAAAAGATGTTGTAAAGTAACTACCGTATACTGCATCAGGAGGGCAGACTATGTCCCAGTCCCCTGCAAGAGCTAGAATCGGGACACTGGTTTGGCTGATATGATCTTTGTAATAGAAATTACCGGTTCTGTCACGCAGTCCACCCTGGTCCACGGCTGTTGCTAGCTGAAAGAGAAGCTTAGCCGGCACCGTGCCTGTTTTTTTTTTTTATTGGGTTTTTCAGAACAAACGTTATTGTTATCGCTGAAATTTGTTGAGAAGTTTGAGAAAATGAGCTTACATAAGCTGTTCAAAACAAGCTTTTCAATCACTTCAGTGTCCATCATTTGAGGAGCAGAGATATTAGTGGTTAACCAGGACAAAGCATATGGAGGACGAAAAATTAGAGGGTGAGCCATCGCGAGCATTGTATCTATCGGTAGGGCAGACAGGTTAATAGCTTGCGCGGGCTCTTTCTGAAACAAAATGAAATTTTAAGATCACTTTCTTCAGTCGTATTTTTCACTTTAAAGAGTGTAATAGTAAGGTGGTTGGTTTTTAAGTACTTGCCACGGGTAATAGGTACTTGAGGAGTGTTCCTGAGGACGAGTAGTCCAACGTTGATGCAATAGTAGTGACAGAAGCCAAACCCGAATCCATTCCTTGTAAGCCTAGTGAGAAAACGTGATTGGAGCCAAAATCTGACTATGAACTACATTTTAAAACAAATGTAAGAGAATATCAGGCTATGTGATGCATGAGAGAGCTTACCATATTTTGAGAGCAAGGCATATAAGAGAATACCACCCATTGAGTGACCAATAGCTAACAACTTCCCATCTTTTGGTTTGGTTTGAGTCCTCACATACTCCATCTGAGGCCAACATATCATATAATTAGACATAACTGGGTATAGCACGCAGGTGAGCTCGACTCTAACAAAGTGAATTTCAATTATAAAGAAAAATTAACAAGAAGAAGTGTCACCTCACCGCTGAAGGAATATCTTCTTCTAGATAGTTATCAAAATCCCAATTGTAACGAGGGATAAGTTCAAGCCGCTGCTTGAAATCTTCCACTCTCTTGGATAAACGGTCTTGCAACCCGAGGATCTTGAAACCTGCAGGTTATTTCTCAGTAACCAGACAAAGATTCTCTGTTCTGGTCTTAACAGAACATGTCGAATAGACAATATAAGATAGAGAGAGAGAGAGGTAAAGAATGAACCTCCATCAAGAACATTTTCCACCCTCTCAGATACGTTTATGAGATTCTCCAATAGGTTTGAGACTATTCGTTGCTCGTCTTTGCTGGAATCTGTACTTCTCGGTTTCTCTTTCCGTCAACAAACAGGATTTATCAGGAATTAAATTAACATTTACACACCAATTCAAATCACAAGAAAATCTTATCATGCCTTTACCAGGATCTGTATCAAGACTGAGAGAACTCAATCCGGCTCCACGGAGCTCCAGAATCCATGTATCAAATCCTGAACCAGACATGAATCTTGCAAAGGAACACTATCCACATTAAAAAAAAAAAAAAATTGGTTTAGCTTCCATATACAGATTTGTGTTAACAAGAATCCATTTCAAGATCACTACAAGACCAGTATTAGCATAATCAAAACCGGTTGTTTGAAATAATCAAATTACCTCAGGGGAAAGATCGTATGTAAGAGCATTGGTCGCAATCCCAGACAATAGGAGCAAAGGATGTTTCCTCTTAGGTGCCTGTAAGCATATAAACATGATAATACGTATCTAAATACACATATACGTACATATACACACATGTATGCGTATATATATAGGTACCTTTGGGGAAGGGAGATACCGCCAGAGGGCGGCGCGCCAATCGGAGTTGGGAACAGGAACGTAGTGGAGCTCGTCCGCCGTACAGATTTCATTCGCCGTCGTCTTCGCGACCGATCCGATCGCCGGAGATGAGCCGACTCGGCCGAGTTGCACCGAGGAGAAGGAGTAGCGGGATTGACTGAGTAGAGAAGAGGCGGGAACGGAGGAAGTGAGGGAAGCTGAGCTTAGCTCGAATCGGAGAGCATCCATGACCACCGCAAATCACCACCGATAGCTCGACCGTCGACTGAGTCGTCGGAGCAGAGCAACGGTTAAATAATTATATAGACGGAAGGTGAAAGATCTCACTCGGTCCCTTTCTGCTCTGCTTTCTATTTCTAATTTTTGTGGTTAAGATTTTTCAATTTAAATTCATTGCGACCAAAATATAGAGTAATGACTCTTTTTTTTTTTTGGACAAATGAATTAGACATCAAATTAGTGAATATATAGATAAAAGATTATTATTCATCAGTTAATTATTTGTAGGATTCTAAAGTTTATTACTTAGTTTATTTCCCAATAATTCCTGCACATTCGAATCCAGAGTCCAGCCAATAAAACGAAATCATTAAATTTTGTTTTATATATAACTGTCGACGAAATCGGTTAACTTATTCAATGGCTAGGTGGTTGATCTGATCGCTGAAATTTTGAAAATTGCTTTAACTTCATTCACACGCATGAGCGAAGGCAGACGAGAGACATTCTGAGTCAGAGAGAAGGTTCTTCGTCCGAATATAACGGTCAGTTTAGACTGTGAGAAAAAAAATATACAAAGGAAAAGTTTTTGATTCAGATCATATAACCCATAAGTGAAGATTCAATAGGAAAATACGCTACTGGTTTCTGAGATCCTGAAAATTGCTTGTATTTGCAAAACGGCGGCCATCCAAGTTTCAGATTGTTTATACTTTCTCCATTTCAAGATCCACAAGGCCAAATTGGTCAACCAAAAACCAACAATAGCTATTCAAAATCTTCAACGACTCATCAAATCATGCACGTATATCTTTGTTTCACAACACGTGTAATTTGTAGCACACTTACTCTTCTTAGTTAGGTTCTACTTGGAGGTTGCTGGATCTAGAGAGGTCTCTAGCTGCTGGAAAACTGAATCAAAACTCTTGAAGAGGCAGAAGAGAGTATATACGACAGAAGAATCTACTTACTTTCCTCTTGAATTGACGATAGAAATAATGTGTTTAGCCACATCTGATGCAGCGTCAGGTCTCGCAGCTTTGAACGCCCGCTCGCTCATTTCTGTCATCAGTTCTTCATTCCCTATCATTTGGAACCAACTCTATGAGAAGAAGAAGATGGAATTTGAAAACATTGAGATTGTTTTCTACATTTTTTTTGTTTGTTTGTTTAAGCTACCTATAATATCTTCCACGGCAGCTCGAAGAGTAATCGAATCTAGCTCCTCCTCTGTTATTAACTTTGAGCCAACAATGTCCGCCATTAAAGAAGCATTCCTAACTTGATCCCCTTCATCGCTATGTGGTGATGGTATCTTAACAAACATAACTTTCATTGCATTATTACAAGCAAAACACACTAAGATGTAACAAAAATTCGACCAATTAGGATTTTACATACCAGAATAGAAGGTTTGCCTAAAGCCATGATCTCTGAGCACGTCATGGCACCGGCTCTCGAGATAACCAAATCTGCAGCCGCATAAGCTACGCCTATAGTACGCAAGAACCTTAACACCAAAAAGACCACATTTTTGAGTTCTAAGTTAATGTGTGAGTCTTCTGCCATTACAAAAGCTAAAAAAGAGTTATAAAATGTTGTAACTCACGGAGATAGAAAGAGACGAGGATGGCTTCTAACAAGACTATCCATTTCATCAAAAGCTTCAACACCAGTTTGCCAAACGAAAAACCAGTTCTCATGTTCAGACAACATCTGTGAGTAACAGTTGAGCAAAGCTATATTAATAGCGTTTGCTCCTAAAGACCCACCAAGCACAAGCACAACTTTAGCTTCCGACACAGCTCCTGCCCACTGTCCGAAGAAGCTCACACGCGCCGCTCCTTTCGACGCGTACCGTCTCAACGCTTGTCTGATCGGATTCCCATAGACGACGCACTTGGCGGCGGCTCTCTTAGGGAGGTTGGTGACTGTGCAGTTGAAAGGAGCGAAGATTGTGTCGGCGAAGAAAGAGAGAATCCAATTCGTGGTTCCAGGGATCGAGTCTTGTTCCTGGATCACGAGTTTGAGTCTCATGATTACGGCGGCGAAACATACCGGGAAGGAGGCGTGTCCTCCGGTGCCGACGACGATTTGGGGTTTGAATTTGCGGAGGATTTTGTAGGATTCGAAGGTGGATTGGATTAGACGGAGAGGGAAACGGAGGAAGGAGGTGAGGCAGATGAATGGCCGGGAAGATGATGATCCGACGGTTGGTATTTCGGAGAAATCGAATCCGGCGGATGGTATCGTCGTGCTTTCCATGCTGTTTGGGAATCCGATGAAGAGTATCCGAGCGAGTGGGTCGGCGGATTTTAACTCGTCGCCGATCGCGAGTGCCGACGAGATGTGTCCGGCGGTGCCGCCGGCGGATATTACGACTCGTAAGCCGGAGATTTCGTCGTTCTTTGCGGCGGAGGCGGTGGAAGGATTGTTGATTCGTCGGTCTACGGAGAGACAGCAAATGGAGGAGGAGGAGGAGAGAGTGAGTCGACTAGGGACGAGTTTGGTTGAAGGGTAAAATGGTAAATTCGGAGATGGGAAGGTAGTGATCGCCATGAGAGATCAAGAAAAGGAACAAAATTGAGCAATAAAAAGAAGCTGGAAGAGACAAAGCGAGAAGCTTTGAAGTCAAAATTTCACAACGACATTTGGGTAGAAGAGGAAGACTATGATGCTTAGAACCATAAACCCATTTGAAATTATTATATTACGAGGAATTTTGAATGGGTAAGAGATGCAATGTGAAGTTTTCAGTAGTGTTGAGACTTGAGAGGAAGAAGATAACCAGTGACGCGATCTTTCGAATCAAATGAACTAAATTGAAGAAGCGATGAGATCAGAGACGCCATTCATCATACGGTATATAGTCAATGTTTGTCGCGAGAAAAGTCAATTTCTTTACTACTTTTTTTATTTATTTACTGTTTTCTTGCCACGAGGGAAGTCTTGTTATTTTATTCATTTGTTCATGTTGTTAGTTACTCTAAACCACGTATAATTCATACTATTAAGCTATTGATATTGGAAGAGCTTTTAATATTGGTATTCGAACCAAGAAGTCGTGAATATTTGTATCTAACTAAGATTTCGTACAAGAAAAATAAATGATAACCGTGGGAAATTTACAAGAAGAACGAATTAGGGATGACTAGTTGACTACAAGTACACTATCACCAAACCAAGTTTTTGTTCTCTTTATTATACCTCTTAAATGTTGTTATAAGTGTATTAAAGCTTCAAATTATGCCATCTTAAAAAATACGTGTAGTTTATCCATCTTAAATTAGATATGTACATGATAATATATTTATGATATACCCCAGATTTTGTAGATTCTAAGATATAATTTGTATTCATAATGTGTGCTATTTTAGAGTAGATTAAGTTTCATATTTTTGACTTTTCTAGTGAAAAGTCTTTTTTTATTAGTATATTTTTAATACTGAAAGGTACTTTTTTAAAAAAATAATCCATTCATATACGCACGTGTTAAGCGCGTATTATGCGATATCATATATATTATAAGCAAAGTAAAATTTTAAGTTAAAGCTCTCTCATTCAATTTCAGAGTGGTTAATTACCCTTTACCCCTCCTTATATTTTTCTAAAATAAAATTTAATTAAAAAATTATTAAAAATCGAAAATTAATAAAATTTATTATAAAAATCGTAAATTAATATAAAATTATTAAAATCGGAATTTAATAAAAAATATTTAAATTTTAAAAAATATTAAAAATCGTAAATTAATAAAAAATTATATAAATCGGAATTTAATCAAAAAATATTTAAATTTTAAAAATTTATTAAAAATTGGAATTTAATTAAAAAACATTAAAATCATATCATATATACTATATGCGAAGTAAATTTTTCGTTATAAGTTCTCTTATTCAATTAGGTGACTAATCATCATAGTATATATTAAAAGCGAAGTGAATTTTAGCTTTAAAGACCATATGGTAAGTGAGAGATCTTTCAGCTTCAGATTTATATTATTGGTGCAAAAAACCATATGGTTTATTGCAAGTGGTATTTTCCAAATTAAGGATCATACCAAGTATTCGGTTTACAATTTGGAGGGACATGTGAAAAATTGTAAGTTTATAGTATTGAGAAGCTATTGGTTAAGATAAATAAAGAATATATTTTTTTCTCCTAAAAAAAACCTATAGCATCACTCCGCTAATTAAAAGATTTTTACTTCTTTCAATGCCTTATAGAAAAAATAATCTCATTATGTAAATCTCAATAACAGAGTACATTGGTAAAGTTTTAAAAACTAGGAAATAGTCAAAATAATACCAGTAGGTACCTTACATAACGATCAAAGGAAAAGTGAGTAACTCCTATGAGAGAGTCATCTCATTTATAATTGTTTAAGAATCTAATATTTTAAAAAAAAAATAATTGGAAGAATATATGTCTCAAATAATAAATAATTCATTATGTGAAGATTATTCTTACTACAAAATATAAGAAGTGAATACAGTTCTAATTTTTATGATTAAAAATTAAAACATGTTTTAGTTGTTTGAATTTGTATATAATTTTGGAATTACTTTTTAGGCAATAAAGAATAACAACTTTAAGAGTGACTTGGTTTCAGCTTCCAAACTATATTTCAACTTTGTTTTAAGAGGAGAGTTCATATTAGAATACTCGGATAATATGTGTCGATGTTATCTTTGTGCTTCACTTTGCAAGATTTTTTGAAATTGATCGTTTATACAAAGATAATCAAGCCTATAAAAGATGTGAAAATATACATCTGAAAACTTCCAAACTTCCAAAAATAAATAGTAGAAGAAAATAGAAGAAGGAATAAAACTAAAAAAAAAAAACACAAAGAAAAAGTCTGTTTATTTAATATTTTATGTAAAACAATAAGAAATTGGAAAATATAGACTATATAAAGAATAATAGGAAGAAAAAAATCGAAAGAACAAGACAAAAAGAAGTTGAAAGAAAAGATGATGTTTCGGCGCAACGTGATTTTGAGTAAGTTTTTCAAGTAAATTAGCGATTTTGAGTAAGTATTTTTAATGAAACATCTCCGCCCGCACAAGGTGCGGGCTAAACATCTAGTCTCTATTAATATAGTAAGCAAACTATTTTACAAATGGCTAAATGAACTGTATTAAACTATTAATAGACCTTCACAAAAAATAAAATTATAAATTGAACAATATGTAAAGGTCGCCCTGAAAATAAGAGTTGTGGTCTGTGGGTAGGTCTTGTGCCAAGTATTTAATGCAAAACTGGTCCCTATGATGCTGCAACTTGCTATTTCTATCACTACTTTTTGCTTCTCCTGTATATAGTACAATGGTTCATAAATATGATACGGTAACTAAAATCAGACGGAAAAATATTTACTAAAACAAGCAATTGGATTGCGTTAAGGGGAGAAATCACTCATTGGCCATTGTCTAAAATAGTAATCTGCATTCCCAAAACTAAGAAAAATGTAGTTTTCCTGAAAGAATTCCTTTAACAAATAAAAAGTAGTTTTGCTGAAAAAGCAAATTATAAACCTAGTTAAAAGAAGACGACAAAAAAAACCTAGTTAAAAGAAGTGGAATCTGGGTGGCTATTAATGGTCTGGCACTCTGGTTCTCGTGAAACCAGCGTAACTTGTAAAGCATTGTTGAGAGAAAGAATAAGGGTTCGTCTACTCACAAAGTCACAAGAGAACACAAGAGACTAGAAAAAGTAATAAGAAAGTTTACGTAATGGGTTTAACCTAACAAAAAAAAAAAAATTCTAAACCAAAAAATTAATTACTGTTTGACCTTTCAGGATTTCTAACAGATTAAAGATTACTCAACTCTTAACTTAATAAAACCGATTAATATAGATTCATTAGTCATTACATTCCGATCCACACATATTTCTTTCTTTAATGCTCTTCTGTCAATGGGTCACTCGAAATTAATAGTGTTGTGTTTGCGACAAGTCGCCGATGATTCGGGCAAATTAAAATCAAAAGAATATTCTTTGCAATAAAAAGAGAAATTGTTGGCAGAAAAAAAACCCATAGAGATAGAAGAGTATTGATTGATAGAGTAAGAAAATATACTGCCTGTTAAAGGAAAAAAAAAAACAACAGAACTGAAGTAAACAACTTGGGTTTTGCAACAAAAAGTAATAAAAGAAAAAAAAACAAATTTGGCCTTTGGGTTTTTGCCACAATACTTTGGGATTTGGTCCCCGAACTAATCGATGCCTCTTCCCAATTCGCAGCCATTTTTTACTCTTCCACCTGAACGACAAGAGAAAAAAAAAACCTAAATTCTTTCAAGGACCTGCAATTTCGGCGGTTCAGGTTTGAAGGGTTTTGATCATTCTCGAATAGACTTAATTTATATGGGCGATCTTGCTATGTCCGTAGCAGACATCAGGTGAGGAACATTGGATTCAGTTTCATTGATTTGCTTTCGAATTTCAAAGTTCATGCTTCGAATCTAGGAAATTTAGGGTTAATGCTCCTTTCCTGGATTCGAACCGGTGACGAGGTTCCCAAAAGTTTTCAACTTTCAATACGCAGGGATGATTTTGGGTTGAATTAAAGGTTAAACATGAACCACAGCTATTTCATTGCCCTGGAGGTGTTGGGCAAATCTCAATTGAAATTTACGGATCAATGAAAAATTGACTTGCCCAGCCTTTTCTCTCCTTGTAGGAGTTAGGGAGAGGAAGAAAATGATGAACCATTCTTTTTCTTTTTTATTGAATCGAAGCAAATGGTTTCTGTGATTTTTGTTTAAGTTGCTCAAAATCAAAGGTTGTTGTGAATTGATTGGCTGAATATTGTAAACGTATTTGGGACAGGATGGAGAATGAGCCTGATGATTTGGCTAGTGATAATGTAGCGGAGATTGATGTGAGTGATGAAGAGATTGATGCGGAAGACTTGGAGAGACGTATGTGGAAGGATCGTGTCAGGCTCAAGAGAATCAAAGAACGACAAAAAGGTGGTTCTCAGGGAGCTCAAACGAAAGAGATGCCTAAGAAAATCTCTGACCAAGCGCAGAGGAAGAAAATGTCTAGAGCTCAAGATGGTATACTCAAATACATGTTGAAGCTTATGGAAGTCTGCAAAGTTCGAGGCTTTGTGTATGGTATTATACCAGAAAAGGGAAAGCCAGTGAGCGGTTCCTCTGACAATATAAGAGCATGGTGGAAAGAGAAGGTGAAGTTTGATAAGAACGGGCCAGCTGCGATTGCTAAGTATGAAGAGGAGTGCTTAGCTTTTGGGAAATCAGATGGTAATAGAAACTCGCAGTTTGTTCTCCAAGACCTGCAAGATGCAACTTTAGGGTCTCTGTTATCTTCATTGATGCAACATTGTGATCCTCCGCAGAGGAAGTACCCTTTGGAGAAAGGAACTCCTCCACCTTGGTGGCCAACAGGGGATGAAGAATGGTGGGTGAAACTCGGTCTGCCTAAAAGCCAGAGCCCTCCGTACAGAAAACCGCATGATCTCAAGAAGATGTGGAAAGTTGGAGTTTTGACGGCTGTGATCAATCATATGTCGCCTGATATTGCAAAGATCAAGAGGCATGTTCGCCAGTCAAAATGTTTACAGGACAAAATGACAGCTAAAGAGAGTGCGATTTGGTTGGCGGTTTTGAACCAAGAGGAATCCCTCATTCAGCAGCCTAGCAGTGACAATGGAACATCTAATGTAACCGAGACACATCGAAGGGGTAATAACGCTGACAGGAGAAAAACGGTGATCAACAGTGACAGTGACTATGATGTTGATGGGACAGAGGATGCTTCAGGTTCGGTTTCGTCTAAAGACAATAGAAGAAACCAAACGCA